TTCCAGGATTCCCTCTTGGCCTTCTCTAGGTTCTCTTTCCTCAGGGCAGCCTGTTTAATGGCATTCAGGCTTACCATGTCAGCTGAGGAGACTCCCTCCTGGATGGTGTATCGGAGACCGCGAAGGAACCTCATGGCCAACTTCTCATCTCGGTCCGTCTCAATCTCACACCACTCCGATAACTCGAAGAATTTGATGTAGTAAGACAATACTGACATCTCCCCCTGCTTAAGATCATCGAACTCCCGCTGTTTATTATATATCCACTCCGGTGGGAAGAAAGTCGCCCGGAACATAGTCATGAATTCCTGGTAGGTCACTACTGGAGGAAAGACTTGCCCTTCCTCCTGAGTGCCCCACCAAGTCAAGGCATGGCCTTTGAGAAGCATGACCATTGCCTGGAGCCTCTGCTCCTCATCATATCCCATGTAATCGAACTGAATGCGCGACTCTTTCAACCACATTGCCGTTTCTTGAGGATCGTCACTATCCCCTCGAAACTCCTTCAACCCATATTTCTTAAGTTGAGGAAACTCCACCCTGATGGGGGGTGGTAGCGGTGCTAACTGAACATTACGAGGGCCCACACTGTTCCGGTCACTACAAAGAAAGAAAAAGAAACCAAACTTTAGTTTTCTTCAACAAAAACTCCTTCCAAAGATCGTTTCTCAATTCCTCAAAATATTTAAAAATCAATTTCAAAATATTTTTGTCACAATTGATCCCATTACCCAGAAAGTCTCGGTGCAAATACGAGTATGGAGTACCTTCACCCGACTGAGGGTAGCTAATCCTCACGAGTTAAGGTAACATACTTATAGTGCAGCGAACTAACCGAGCTCTGATACCACTTGTAACACCCCACCCATAATCTCTATGGTTGAACCCGTGGTTCAACCGCGCAGCCAAATCATCGGTGTTACTGGTTGAACTCGATCATCTCAAACATCATATCCGGTAATTAAACACAAACATAAACCGTTATCATACAAACTCATTATTCGAATCCCAACCCACTTATTGAATTTTACAAAATGTGGGTTTATTATTCAAACACTCAAAGCAAAAATCCTAGGTGACCATGACAGAACAGTGTTCCAAACTACCTCATGATGGTAGTACAGAAGGATAGGGCAGCCTCAGTAGTCCGATCCTAGTTGCACCTGCGAGCCTGAAAACAGACGTGGGTCAGCAACTAAGCTGTGTGTGTGGATCTTTCCCACGACCTAATTTTGGGACCGCAATCAGCTAATCAAACAATCATAATCAATCATAAATTATTACTCTAGATGCCATCTTAAATCATCATATATAAATTACCGATCAAATTATCGAATCCACCAACTAATCATCACCAAATCAATTTATCCAATAAGATAATCACTTAATTTCACGAACACATAATGAATGCATGATATGAAAATTCCGGTTAATTATTAATGGCGCCAAGGTCACCATACACTTACCCTCGCTCGAGCAAATCATCATCCGTGGTGCTCATGCAACCACAACACTCAATCCGTGGTTTTTAACCACAACACTCATCCGTGGTTTTCAACAACAACACTCATCCGTGGTGCTCATGCAACCACAACACTAAATCGCATAAGCGAGCTAAATCTACCCACTCTCAAGGGGTGAGGGTAAATGCAGACCCTTTCTATATCTACGTGAATTAATATGATCACGAATCAAACCATTTTCATTTTTCTCATCCATCACAATCAATCCGGAATCAATGTAATCTTACGGATTAACCAGTTCATATATATATTTTCCGTCGATTATCAACTCGACGTTTCAAAAAAATCAACTATTTCATCATCCAATACCAAATCACATAAATCATCTCATTCTCCCGTAAAGCTACTCAGCAGTACCATATCACCATTCCTCATCCAAAATTCATCAACAATATCACGAAATAGCGCCAACGCAAATAATTATAAATAACCCGATTGCGGTTAAAAATATCCTTAACTCAAAATTCACTTTCCTTCATTAAAATCCTCACAAAATTCATGTAACTGAATTTATTGACACCAAAAATCCATTTAATCTAGTTCTGTTCATAAAAATCAATTTAGACAATAAAATATCAAAAATCTCGTATTAACCATTATTTTACGATAAATTAAATTCCAACAAAATGGTAAATCCAAAAATCTCCCAAAAATACAAGAACCTCCATTTATCATCATAAAACAGGTCTGTCCAGTTTTTATATTTTTCAACGGCTCAAAACCGTGAAAATAATATTACACTCGGTATTTATCGCAAATCTCGTATTAAGCTCATTTTTACCGTTTTAAAGATAAAAACTCCACCAACTGTCTAATTTACCCTTTTCAGACCAAAAACCATTTAATAATCCATACTGACCATTTTGAAGTGATCCAAATCTTAAAGATAAATAAAACACGTTTTTACCGAGCTTTTCGTAAAATTCACCGTTATGCAGTTTTTAATCCGAAAACCATTTTCAAGTGAAATATTTTGCTCAACCTGCCCCAACCTCCTTTTAGACAAACAAAAATCTCTTAGATCAGTTTTAGACTCAATAAACCCAACTATTCATTTTTACGGGGAAACTTGTCAAATATCGATATTTACACCGTAAAATCCATAACAATCAAGAATAATCACCAAATCATCATATCAACAAATAAGTCATCACCCACAGTAATCCATCCATCCAAATATGCAAATCAAGCATAAATAATCGATGCAATAATTAAGGTCCTCTTAATCCCCACACACCTTAATTTAGCTGATTCCAAGTCGGGAATTAAGTTCTAAAATTCCAGAGATTGGCTCCTAAAAATTCTCCTTGATTCTACGGTCCTTTAGGCGAAAACGGTTCGTCGTTTGGACGTCAAACGAAGAAACTGCGAGCTAATCATCGTTAGTACGCAATTACGGATTAATTGTTAATTTTCTGCATGTCCCAAAATCTGCAGAAAACTGGAAATTTTCCTACCTCGCGTACCAACTTCCCGGCCTTGTTTCTCCCTCGTCTGAGCTCGGAATTCGATTCCGTAAACTCTGTGATGCTCGTGGAGACTTTCTCTTCGCAACGGTATCAAGCTTCGTAGCTGATACTACCTTTAATGGTGCTGGTTTGGCTGACGAAAAGGTTACGGCAAAAGTTCCGGCGAATAATTTCCGTTGAGTTGGTTTGACGATTGGGCTTTATAATCAGGTTTGTATGGGTTCTTGAACTTTGATGGGATCACAGAGAGTATGCTAGACCTTTGTTATCTGTCCCCTCTTTCCTTTCACTTCTAATTCACATATATAGGAGAGGTTTCCTCCAATGGTGGGTTTGAGTAAAGAAGAAGATGAAGGGAGGTGACCAAGCCTTTAAAGGCTATTCAAACTCATCCTCCCCCCTCTTTACTCTCTGTAGGTGCATTGAGGGCTCTTTGAAGGCCGCCTTCATGGTTCAGAAGTGTAGTGATCAACTTCCAAGTTCCCACAGTAGGCACCGCTAAATAAATGAAGCTGCTGCCAGTGCACGCAGTCAATAAAGGTTAAAATCAAGCAGGGTGCTTCCATTAACACAGATAATAGCTGGCGCAGCTGGTTAAGCTGTCAGCCCACCCTTAGCTGCCAGGAGGTCATTGGTTCGATTCTAGCAACACACCAATTTATTTTTACTTCAGTTTTTAATGGTTTGTGAGTTTCCGAGTGGTTTCACGGATCCTATCTCGTATAGGATAATAATTAGTTTTTTTTTTCAGCCTCGAATCGTACTATATGCGTCCGCTACTTGAAAAAAAAATTATCCGTGGTTCGGGATGTTACAGAACCATATCCGGGTGACCTCTCTTAACCTGAAAACAACCGTTTAGTTGCTTTGCTTGCTTGTTAGTTTAGATCTTCACTAAAGTTTCATTGCTAGATAATACGAATTCACTGAGTAGTCATCACATCTAGGACCCGGGTTGACATTAAAACCCAAACCCGCTATACTATGCTTTAGGAAGTGGTTACACTTGGCCATTTTCTAGAGTGACAGTAGGAGTGAGTCACTTATATTTGTCACATTGTAGATTGAACTCACAAATAGGGAGGACAACAAAATCCGAACTCACGGGTACACTACCCGACCCAACCCGGTCCATGCGGGTAAAACCCGTGTTGACAGGTTTTGGGCCGGGTTCGGGTTTAAACCCGTTCACTATTCATCGGGTTGGGTTTGGGTTTAGGTATACCCAACCCATGGGTACCCGCCCACACCCATATAATTAATTTTCCCGGTATATTTAATATTCTAAGCAACTAATCTTCTTTATGTTTGTGGAGACATGTCTAGTTTTTTCTTTCTAATTGTGTAGAATGAAGTTGATATTATTGAGTGGAGAGTGAAGAAGTTTAATTGACAAGGAGGAAAAAGCTTTCGATGAATCATGTTGTTTATGGATAATTTGTAATTTGCTTCAATTTTATTGAGTTTTCTAGATTGGTGTTGAACAATTTGTATGGTAATTTGTGATTTGCTTGAATTTGTAGAATGGTGTTTTAGATATGGATAATTTGTATTGAGAGATTGATATTTGACTTTTATTTTGATAGGAACTTATTATTGTAAATTTTTTACGATAAAAACCCCTGGATATCCATGAACCCGCGGGTACCTAGCGGGTTAGGTTTGAGTTTACCAAACCCCATGTGTTTTACCCCCGGTTTTTTCACGAATAAACTATGGGTTTGGGTTTGTCAAATCTCGACCCAACCCGACCCATTTCCATCCCGATTCACAAATAAAGCAGTTCTATATATGATGTTGAGAACTAATGATCCATTGCACAACCCAAACTGTGTATTATCATTACTGGATAAATCGGAGATACGATATATGCACATTAATCCATATATGTTCCTCTCTTACTTCTTGTTAAAAACCTCCCCGAACAAATTCATATACAGAAAAATTGATCATATACTTAGTACAGATAACCACATTGAATGGGTAAGAAAATAACAATTGATCATCATCAGAAGCCAGAGATGATTCTCGAGCAAGTTTGCTTGACCCAACGACAACTCTTCTTCAAAGAAGACTTCACCTTCCCCTCCATGGCGTAAAGCTTGTACCTCGCCACCCTCCTCTTCCTCTTAGAATTCGGCGAATTCCACCACACCTTCAAGGAATTGATGTCTCTCTGCCTCTTCGGAGGAAGAGGAGGAGGGGCCAACGCTACCGGGCGCCTCACATGATGGTGGTCATGGTGCCCCGGCGGCGATGGCAGATGTGTGGATGGTGGTGACCTTGGGGGCGGAGGCGACATGTCCATTCCGAAACTGCTCGGTTTCCCTCCTCGCTTCTCGTCAATCTTTCCAACAATATTCGAATTGAGAATGAGTTGGATGTTTCTTCTTTAACCTCTAATTATTATTGCTCTAATGAAATTTTTGAACGTATTGTTACAACATTGATAAAAGCAACAACAATACTGATATATTTTTTCCCTATGTCAAGATTTCCCTCCTCTCTTTCTCTCTCTCTCGGAGATGAGATTGAGAGAGACAGAGAGGAGAGAAATCTACAGACAAGAGACGGAATTTTGGGCCTAGCTAGAGGAAAATTCATTTAAAGCTAGGCTTTCCTTTATATATCGGAGGAAAAGGTCAGTGTTGGGTGGTATGGAGCCGCTGAATCTTATTTGTGGAAGACAAAATCAGAGAGATTAAAGGTTAAACACAAAACTAAGTACATGGTCTTAATTTTTTTGGTGTTATTGTTGTCAATGATAAAGATGAAGTTGCCTTATAATAGGAACCGTTGGCTAGTGGTTAACTATATATAATTTTCTTATTATCATCATTAGTTGAGAGAACTTCTTGTTCTATATATAGAAGAATTGTCAAACAAGGAAGTAGTTACGAAATTGGTCGTTGTCTTGTAGATAACATCGTGAGAGTGCAGCAAAACCCCCCAATGACCCTATTTCTTAGACATTGGTATCCTTGGAGTTTTTGTAACAAGTAACATCCATAAATATACTCCATCAGTATATTTAAAATATGTTGGGTGTAGGATTATGATAGGGCCGTAAATCACGGTTACATTTCATATAAATATTCTCATATTCTACAAAGTTGCGGGTAAAAATGTCCCATGCAAAATGCCAGTTTTTTTAAAAATGAGTCATTTAGCCCAAAATGTCTTATTTCTCAAATATCCCAACCAAAAAACCCCATGGTGGCGATTGAATTTTCATCTTAGTGTGTTGCACTTGACGAATATCCAAATACAAAGGTATCGATAACGATTGAACTCATTTGATCGAATGAATACCCAAAAATAATATACACTCAAGTTTTACAAACTTCTAAGTGATTTTGACAATATTAACATGCATGTGCCATTATTCTTCTCATAAGCGCACTCTAAACGGAGTTCAAATTTCTTGAAGCGGCTGCATTTCATGTTACATAAGTTGAATATAATAGTTATGTGATTTAGATCTTGTATAGGTGTTGTTTCTTTTAGATCTTGCATATTAGCATTTAGCTCAAATATAAAGTATACAATTGTTGATTGAGTATGTATATGCAAAGGTTGTATATTCATACTTATTATGACAATATCTATAGGAAAAAAAAAGTAAACTAAGTCAAGAATAATCAATAATCACAATTCACTTTGAATGAAAAAACACTATGAATTTATGATTTCACGAGCAATATAATTTTAAATTATGTGGACATAACATTAAAGTTACAGTGATGAGGTAGGACATTAAGGAAAACTCTTTAATGGAAACTGTTGCCCCTCTATTTCAGTTTCCTATAATCAAGTGACCACATTTTCTTCACATGTTTGTAAGATAAACCGTTTCTGAAAGTTGTTTTCTCTGCTGCTTGGGTATACTTGTCAATGGATGGATAGCATGAAGGATTTCAATAAGCTATGAGATGTTTTAAAGACAGCAAAATAGACAGGATTGTTAGGAACTTTGTCATTAGTGAACTATGAAGGGAATTGTGCAGAAGAGTCTATGTGAGGAACAAGATGGAGGTAAAAGAGATGGCCTTTAGAATGCAAGAGATACTCCAACAAAAGAGCGCATAATGTCCGGATATTGCACATGCTATGCTAACCAAGCCTTGTGGTTTATGGAGGATTGTATTAAATCGACTTGGAACAATTTGGACATATTGTATCAAATATGAGTTTTCTTGTATTGTTCTTCATGTAAGCTAGTAGACCAAACTTAAGAAAATTGTGGGATGTTGTTTTAACAATACTTTGATGAATTACAAACTCACTTGTTCATAGAAATATTATTTGGAAAATGATATGATTTTGAACAAGATTTCCAATATCATGGAATTGTAAATTAGTTAAGGTTTTCACCAATTCTAAACAACAACAAAAGCTTCTGGGAACCATTTTGTATGTATTGTATATGCCAATGCATGAGTGTCACATATGTGGAATCCATCCTTTTTATCATAAAATTCATCCTTTTTCATTTACTATGTATTAGATTTATGATATTTTAACTTAAATTAGTGCGATGTTTTTTCTTCTTGCGTGAAATGTTGATATAACAGTAACTAGTAACAAGTTGGTTGAAATGATAAAATAAAATAATTTCTCCAAGAGTCGCCTATCTCGTGAACAAAAAGTTTCTTATCCAAAGTTCGATGACTATTGACTTTCGTCCATTTCTTATTTGTATTTTTGTGATTTCATGTTTGCAAATGTTATACATGCATGTCTATTCTCTCATTTTCACAATACCTTTGAAAATAAAAGGAGAAGCTAAGTCAAGAAAAATCAATAATCACAATTCACAATTCATAATACTCGTTGTTTGCGAGGTTTAGGTTTTCATAATTTTTTTTGGTTGATGATTTGAATGCCTTTAATGGCTTAGTTTGAGCTTGGTAAGTGGGAGTGAAGGATACTATTCTGGAAAATTCTTTTTTTTTTATTATTTGCGGTGTTGAAAATAGCAATACTGATAGTAGTCGTTATGTGGAGGTGTTTGTGGATTTCTCCTCTGATACTAATATTCGATCCTAACAAGTAAATGTTGTGAAGCTAGATTGTCAAGAAATATCAATCCCTTACATTTTTTAGGGGATATGAATTATGTTTTGGCGGCGGGTGAAAAGGAAGGTTGGTTGCCATGGGATCCTCTCAGACCTTCATGGCAATTCGAGGCTTAATAAACCAACTCGCGTTGCAAGATGAGAGCTTTGAAGGGTTATAATTCACTTGGACGAAATGACGGATGGGTTCATCGTGCGTGAGGGAGAGACTAAACCGAGTCTTGAATTCAATGTTGTGGATGGATAGGTTCCCACAAAATGTGGTTAATCATTGCACTGACCTTGGTTCGGATCACTGGGTGATGATTATGACAGATATGTCAAGAACCAGTTGATTCCAATAACTCGAGTTGTTGGGGGAGGTTCAATCGTGGATCATATACCACAACACTAACACGCCCCCTCAAACGAAAGCCACTCACAAGGGCTTGAAGTTTGCACAGGTCTGAAGACAAGAATACCATGTGCTTAACAAATTGGGGTCGTCGGGAATCGAACACAAGACCTCTCGGTCACAGAAGGCTCTGATACCATGTCAAGAACCAGTTGATCCCAATAACTCGAGTTGTTGGGGGAGGTTCAATCGTGGATCATATACCACAACACTAACAAGATAAGCCTTACGTGCAAGTGGCACACCCTCTATTTTGATTTGATGCGACATGGGTTGATACTTCGGAAGTCTGGCTTATGGTAAAATATGTCTGGAATAAACCATGTGAAGGGGCGCCCATGTACAGGTTCTGGTCTCATCTAAAAGCTTTAAGACATTTACCGTACGATTGGAGCAGCTCGGGGACATGTAATTTAACTAGAAATATCCAGATTTTACAGAATGAAATCTATAGTCTTAAGGGGTGGAGAATATGGGCTGGATCAGATAGGCGAATTGGAAGATAAAATCTCAAAGCAGTGGGTGGCAGAAAAAAATTTCAGGCATAAAAAATCAAGTGTTCGTTGGCTTCAGGAAGGGATCAGAATACCTCATACTTCCATATGGTTACTCATAGTAGAAATAAAACAAATTTTATTGACAAGCTGTGGGACAAGGACAGACAGTGGGTGATAAAGGAGGTACAGAAGGCGTCCGTTGCTGGTGAATTTTACACTGAGTTATTTCGAGTCGGGGAGCTGGATCTGCATCAGGACAAAAAGTGGCAAATTTTCCCACGAAATCGATGGTGACTGGTGAGTACATAGATGAATGCTTCTTGTTACTAGTAACCCTGTGCCGTAAGTTAGATAAACATCTGGTGAGGTTCTGGTGGGATTTCTTACCGGAGGGGGATAAGTCTCATTGGGTTTCCTATAAGAATTTATGTCAAAGTAAGCATGATGGGGATTAGGATTCAGACGGTTTGAGACTTTTAATATAGCCGTATTGTCAAAGCTCGCCTGGCAGATTTGGAAGGAGCCTGATTCATTGTTGGAAAGTATTTTCCACAGACAAAATTTTTGGAAGCAGGAAGGAGGCCACACCCATCTTTGGGGCTGGCAAGGAATTTTGAAGGGTTGGGAACTTTTGATTGAAGGGTTAGGATGACAAATAGGTACATGAGCGACGACTATAATTATGGAGGATAAATGGATTCTTGGTGCCTTGCAAGGTCGGGAGGTTGCACTACCATCGATAAATACATTGTAGGAGGGATAGGCGGTGGAGGATCTAATTAATGTGGATACGGGAAGCTGGTGTGTGGAGTGCCTGAGGCAATGCTTCCCAGAAAATATTGTTCTCATGATTTGGGAAATTGTGTTGCCACATCTACAAATTATGGATCAATTAGTGTGACAAGAGGAAGCTTCTGGGGTATGTACGGTCAGATCCAGGTATCATCTGGTGATGCAAATTGGAAAGAAGATGAGCCTGAGGCAATGCTTCCCAGAAGATATTGTTCTCATGATTTGGGAAATTGTGTTGCCACATCTACAAATTATGGATCAATTAGTGTGACAAGTGGAAGCTTCTGGGGTATGTACGGTCAGATCCAGGTATCATCTGGTGATGCAAATTGGAAAGAAGATGAGTCATTTTTTGGTCGAATGTTCTGCAAAAGAGTTGGGGGGTTTCCTATTCCACCTAAATCCAAGTTCTTACTTTGTCGGGCGTTGAGGCGGATTCTGCCTATAACAAATACCTTGAGGGAGAAAGGTGTTCAATGCATGGTGATGACTCGATATTTGCACATGTTTTCCCCTTTGTTTCTTGATTTTTTGAACTTTAGTTATCGCGTCTTTGGCCTATTTTACGCTAGGTTGTGTTCATTTGTCACATTTCAGGTCCTAGCACATAAAGTGAAGCATAGGCACAAGTTTCAAGTCAATCAGAGATCAATTGGCGATTCGGGAGAAGAAACTCGGGCATGACCTGAAGAAGAATGGATTTCTACCTCACTTTATGGACAAATAATCATGCAAGCTTGTCATGAAAAGAAAGAGGACGAGACTACGAGCGTCTAGGATCAAACGGCGACTGATTCGGAGTCCGGACGAGGGAGAAACGAAGCATTGAATATAAGAGAACAGGTTCGGCAGTAAAAACACGGGTGCGCCTAATTCAAAACACGACCGTGCCCATATTTAGGCACGACCGTGTTTTGACCGACGCGCGCGGGCGTGTTTTTAACACGGGGCAAAACACGGGCGGGCAAAAGCAAAACACGGCCGTGTCCGTGACAGTGTTTTGCCCAGAATCGGGTTTTTTAGGCAGATTGAAGCCAAAGGAAAGGGAGAGCTGGGTTTTGGATCCCAAACACCAAAGGGACGAACCAAAGAGAGAGAGGGTGATTTGAGGGAATTCTTGGAGTGGAATTGGAGGATTTCTTCACTTTGGAAGCTCGAGGAACAAGCCCGGACTTGAAGACTGATCATCTGAAGATTCTTACTGCAGTCTCTCTCTTCTCTATGGAGTAACTTCCCTTCACTTAGGTTTTGAGGAACCCTAGCCATGTTTGTTTGATTGGATGATTGTATGAGTACTCCTACTTGATAATCTTGAGTTCATATTCAATCTATGCACGTTTTCATGATTCAATTCAGCTTTAGTCGAGATTATTGATTCTGCTTTGATCCTATGAGAGCGAATACCTGATTAGGTCAATAGAGCACCATAGATTGATAGTATTGAATCGATTGCTTTAGTCGAGGGTTGATTCAATGCTTTGTATCGATTGAGAACCTCATTCGATAGAGGGAGTCTAGTTTAGAACGCCTTGATCGGTTGTTCTAGAGAAGGATACGTCCCTCTAGGCAATTGACTCAAGAGGGCCTTGTTCCTTTAGTCGAGACTCAAGGTCTAGTCAAGGATTCTACGCATTGTGAATGAAAGTGAAACATGTTAGAGATCATCAATCATTAATCTGGCTAGTGGCTAGGGGGAATCATACCTAAGTGAGTTCCCAACCTGTAATTAGATTAACTTTAACTGTAGTTTGCTAGAGTAGATTTAGTTCTTTCATCTTAATCTGGTTTGCTAGATAATGAACTGAAGCTGAGTAATAGTAACTCTAGAGACCCGTGGATTCGATATTTATCACTTGAGCCACTATACTACAGTCCCTTTCATTGGATACACTTGGCCATTGTCAGGAGTTGTGTCGTAGCGAGTCACATGGCCCGTTGGCCGGTGTGCTGGGAACCATTAGAGACATTGAAGCACATGTTTCTTCATTATCGGATTGTGGCATGGTTGTGGGAGAATTTGGGTTTAATGTCACTGAGAGTAGGGGTGGATGAGATTAATTTTGCTCTTTTCTTTCGCTAGGTAGTGGAAAGGGAGAAGTTGATGATTTGCAAATCATGAGGTTGGTAGCGTTGCTTTGGCGCATTTGGAAGGCAAGAAATTGAGTGGGTTTTTTTGACACATTTAATATGTTATAAGAGTTTTACTTTACGAGTTTAATGCTGCAGTGGCGGAGTGGTTGGCTTTGTTGGCAGTACCATAGGTCATTGGTGGAGGACATGTAGCTTTGGTCAAAGACGTGGTGAATACCAGTCTCACGTGCTTTGTGAATATTTTTGTTATAGTTGGGTCTCATGCAGCAGATGGAATGGTGGTCTAGGATGTGGCAGATAATACTTTGTATGTGCAAGGTTTTTTCCATGCAGGTTTGCATGATCCTTTTTCGGTCGAGCTGGTGGCTTTTTGTGATGCAATTCGGTGATGCTCTTTGACGAGATTAGCTGAGGTGCTATTTCACGTGGGATGTGCAAGTGGTGATTTATAAGATCCAGAATGGGGAGATGCAAGATGTGGTAAAGGTGATTTTGGAGGAGATGAGCCTGTTGTGTGCACAATACTACTCTTACTTGGTGGCTTTTATTGGCAAGATAAGCAATAGGATAGAGCATGTGGTGGCTAGAAAATTTCTTGTTTTGTCGCTCGTGACTGATGCTAGTTTTGATTTTCGGTTTTGGTTCCTTTTAGGTTTGTAACTTTTGATGTCCTTGATTTCTTGGTAATCCGTGTGAGCTATTATAAAAAAGAAAAAGAAATGCAAGAATAGGTACGATTTTAAAACCATGATTCGAAAAATGACATATGAAAACCGAAACCCACCGAAGCTTTCCGTCATAACTCCTAAGTAGATGTCCAAAAGGTTGAGGCTTTTTCATAAACTGGGCTTATGAACTTGACTTGACCCGTTTGGGGTGGACAGAAACTGAAATTCCATGTCCCTCAGTCGGCCCAGGCCTTGAATCTGCAGACAGGTTCGTTAAGACTCAAAAGTCCAGTGTCCGGTTTATGAAGAACCTAAAATCATAGTGACCATTTATGTTATTAAGCCTAATATAATATGTAGTTAATAAACTCGCCGTTCTCTTTTTCGTATTCTCCAGTCTCACCTAGGGTTTCTGCTCTGCTGCTCTCTCTCACCGCCGTCCGTCATGGTACGTTGCTGCGAATCCTTCTGATTTCTGTCTTTTTCATACTCATTTGACTTTCGCATCCATAGAAGTGGGTTCAATTCCATCTAAACGGTTCCTACTATCGATCTATAGCGTCGGCGACTCTGTTTCATTCTTAGGTTCATATGAAATTGATTTTGTTTAGATGGGTAGCCCAGGCGAGGCAATATATGAGAGCTATGATATGTTCTTCCATCACCTGCTTTCATGTTGTGCGAAAGGATTTGACTTTTTCCCCCACTTATCGTTTAATGACCTAGCTGAGCCAATTGTTTCTGTTTCTTTTCTTTTTTACAGGCCAAAAGAACCAAGAAGGTCGGTATTGTCGGCAAATACGGTACGTTCTTATTACTGAAACCTTTTCCGGTGTTTTGTTCTTGCTGCACCTCAGCAAGGAAAATGGATGAGGCTTAGAAGTTGGACATGGTTTCAAGTTTTAGGTTTTGGGCAATTGGTCGAATGTTTGCAGTTGGTTGGCTCTTGCAATGCAGTTTTTCTTCTTCTTTTGTTTGTTGCGATTCATCCCTTTCGGGAGGTCTTAGATAGCAAGGTCATGTTTTCTGGTACTCTTTTTGATGCAGGTACACGTTATGGTGCTAGTCTGAGGAAACAGATTAAGAAGATGGAGGTTAGCCAACACAGGAAGTACTTCTGTGAGTTCTGTGGCAAGGTACTGAATGACGATGCTATCTTTTTGCTGTATTTGCGGTTGTTTTCATCTTCATCATTGAACATTATATTGATGGGAACATTCTCTCCTTTGCCAGGACGCTGTGAAGAGAAAGGCAGTGGGTATCTGGGGGTGCAAGGATTGTGGCAAGGTCAAAGCAGGAGGTGCTTACACCATGAAGTAAGACTTTAGCTCCCCTCCCTTGTGTCAAAATGTAAGCCCCTTTTGATCTTGAAATTGAAAGCAAGGGATCTAATGCTAGTGTTATGTTTTTCCTTTGGCAGCACCGCAAGTGCTGTGACTGTGAGGAGTACCATCCGCCGGTTGAGGGAGCAGACTGAGAGTTAGATGTTTTGTTGGAATCGTCGGCTCGCTGTATTGTCATTTTTAATTATCGAATTAGCTCCGAACAATGTTGTTTCCTTTCTGGCAGGTATACGTTAGACCCTTGCAAGACCTAATGAACTTCAAGTTTTGGGTATTTGATGAAAGGTTTATGCTTTGTCACAAGTGATGCATGAGTTCTATCTTTCTAGTACAGCTTTCTGCTAACTTGGGTAGTGTAGACTCCCATTTCCTTTGCGGGTGACTGAACTGACTCGATTTTACAATATGACTAGAGCTTGCCTAGCCTGATAAACATCAACTTAGAGCATTAACAAACTAACTAGAGAGCATTATAGTGGCCTTGAAGTTATTTTGAGATGTAAAGATTGATTCCCTGTAGCTTTGTATAAGAGAGTGGATAGTAGAGTGTTCTTTTTAGATTCCGTTACCATCTACTAATTTTCTCATGTTTAATATGAGTTAGGCGGCTCGTTGTTGATCTATCTTACTTCGTTATGTCAATTGTTATTGATAGGGTAAATTGCAAGGTTGGTCACTGGCTTACTAAAAAGGTTGGTGTTTAGTAACTAAACATATTTAATTATGTTCGTAGTCACTCAAAGTATTTCAAGTATGGTCAAAATCAAACTCATACGATGCGATCAAGCCAATTACAAGATCGATGCTAATCAAATCTGGTTCAGCCAATCGAAATACCACTGGTATGACTTCCATGGTTTTAACACAACTCAAACTCATATATTAATTAAAGTGAAAATCCTTCTGATTTTTATTATAATTTCTAATGATTAAGAATATTTTAGAGTTCAAAGTTTAAGAGCATCATTTACCAATATTTGTATGAGTTGTCAAAAACAATGTATCATAGAATGTTGGTTACAAGACCTAGACTGTTCACAATTTTTATTGGGATTGTTAACAATTTTATCACTAATGCTTAAATAGTAATAACATATTACCCTAATTCAATCAAAAAAATTTAGTTTCCTTAACGAATTTATCATTGAAACTTAACTATCTAGCTAACGTAATGCTAAGTGCTAACTCTATTGTATCCTCTAATGCTCCCTTCTCTAACGAGATATTCACCATTGTGACCAAGTGTGGTTCTGTTAGTATATCTCTGCACCACTCAAGTCGTCTCACATCTAAAACTCACTACACTCAATTTAGCAATATAAAGAAATTTAGATAATTAGGAGTCACCAACTCACGTTATCGAAACACAAACAATATTCTTACCAAAAAAAAAAAAAAAAGAAACACAAACAATACATAACAGAGTCTCTATCTCGTAGCAAAGCACTCCCGTTGGAGATGGAAGTTGTAATGAGTTCAGCGGGGTGTTCAAACGGTGTGGTTATCATGGTAACCGTTTTAATCTATAGTATTTGATTAATTTGATTTGATTAATTTTAATAATTGGTTTGATTTTGTTAACTTTTTTGGCTTATTTGGTTTAGGTAGTTTTGTTTGGTTTGGTTTCAGACACTCCTAACCAGTCAAACCAAATTAATCAGTTAAGTTCTTATCCATATATCTAATATATATTATATACACATACTTACGGGTTGTTTGGTTTTGGTGATAGTTAAATAGATGGATTGTCATCAATGCATGCATAATAATATACATGTATATAAGAAAATCCGTGTATTGTAGTTGCATCGTTTGGTTTATATGATGGTTATTGTGTTATTTAAATGAGTTATCTTACTTTTCGGGTGAAATGTCACTTTTACTCTTTGTTTGTAATATAACAAAGCAAGACACATAAAAAAGGTAGGAACAAAATTGGAAAAAAAAAACACACAACAATCTCAATCAAACAATCTCACCCAAAACATGAGATTTAACTATCTGGGTGATAGTTTGTGTCACATCAAGCAAACAATGCATGTATTGTTTGTGCAGAAAATTCAGAAAAACGATACATTGTGGACAATATGATGGATTTGAAAAATGAGAGTTTTGGAAAACCATGGATATATGATGGATTTGGTGGCATTATGGATTTGAACAAGTCTATTGTTTGCTTGTTGGATTTGATTATGGAATTTGTTTGATTAGATTTGTGGATATTAAATACAAATTACCTTGTTACTCTTATCTAATTATATTTCTATATTATAATCCAAATCTTTCATTTAAAAACAAATCCAAAACATAGAAAGAAATTTTAAACTCTTTACCACTATGTGGACTAATAATTCAACTACAAATATATAAATGTATACAATATGGCACTAATTAATAATCCATCTAATATGGTACGCAATATTATGTATCAATTGCAACCAATTGCAAGCTTTATTGCTACAACTCATCATCTTCTTGTTAACTCCCCGATTTTGGAATCCGACAGTCGATCAAATAATAATGCACAAGATGAGCATATGGTTTTATAGGTGAATCTAACAAATCACATATACATTCATATTTAAATATAATATAATTTACAAAATGAAATGATAAATTCTCATATTTATAAAATACGTCATTATTAAAGTTTACAGTTGCATGACCATTGAATTCAAGTAGGACAAATTTGTAATTAAAGATATAAGTAAGGGTAGAAAGGTAATTTACCATCATGGATTTTAATCCATCACCCAAATCCCACCTCAAGAGGTGGAACTTCCAAGTCTGTGGGGTCCACGGATTTGGAACCCCAAAAGAGGTGAGCCCACAAATTCGACCTCCCTAATTCCTTAAAGCAAACGATGGATTTCGGTTCAAGTCCATGATGAATATATTTCCATGACCAAATCCATCATCAAAACCCTCAAGCAAACGACCCCGTATTGTAACTATCTCAACCAAACTATCTAGCTAACGTTAATACTTGGTATAAACATTCAAGAGCCAAACATTCCCTCCTTTTAGGCTCATCAACAATAAAACTCAATATTGTTCCTATATTGTATATATTTGTATATGTAGAGTGTAGACCATGATATATGAACGTCCAATTTTGATAAAATTCATACAATATATTAGATGAAAACGTGAAAATAAGACATTTTTCAACCAATGATAATTGCTAAGAGACTAACTCAATTCGCACAATCACAACAATTAATTAACTCCATACTATTGTTTCCTTCGATTTGTTCTGCTCTGCGAGTTTCTCCTCTTTCGCTTCTTGCTTTTCAGCTCTTTCCAGCCATTTCTTGGCTCTGTCTTTTCCTTTGTTAGGTCTCATTTCCCCCCTTTTAGTTGGGTTGAGGTTTTGTCCTCCGATCTGTTGACTCATATATGGAAATGTTGGCTCGTTCTAAGATGCGATGGAGGTCGGATCTGGTCCTAATCTAGCTTGTCTTCTCATCTTCCTCTCCCTAGTTTACCTCCACCTCCCACCTTGCATATCTATGTGCGTCGGACTCAGAGTGGAGAGCTTAAAGACAAAAGTCACCTTCCCTCAAGTTCTTTCGTCGGCGACTGGTTGGTTGATGTTGTCCCTGGGTTCGATTGGTGGGAGGCAGAAGTCGACTTGCTCGGGGGTGGGATGATGGGAGGTTCTCTTACTCATCCCTCCATCCAAGTTCAATGGGAACGATCCTATGTTTTGGCGCTTGCAATGCAGTCAAAATTGGGATTTTGATCTTAAAATCGTAGGATTTTAGGATTTTACTTAAAGATTTCGATCCTGATTTTACTATAAAATCGATGGACCTTAAAATCATTTAAAATTGGGATTAAAATTGTTAAAATCGTAAAATCGTACCAAAATTGGGATTTTGATCTTATGAGAACAAAATAGGTGGTTTGAGCCAATTTAAAAGAAGCATAACTATTTCGGCGGAAAGGGCAATGACGAGAATCTTTTCAGATGTTTTTCTATTTGAAAAACATTTAAAATAATAAAAATAACCAAATTAGAGCTCGGTTAATCCCTTTCCCTTCACCCCATTTAACTTATTGGTAAAACAATTAATTAACTAATTAATTTATTAATAAATATATTTATAACAAGACGCTAGCATTACTTATTTTATTGGAGTTCAATTATTTTTAGCTTTAAATCATACCTAGTAGACGATGTCGGAATATTACTTGAGTTAAACTACCTAGACACAACACGCAAACAAGAGCCAAACCCCATGAGTTCTATCCCTTCATCATGAATTATTGTGAGTTACACATTAAATAATAATTAAAATAGTAATTTTGGAACATTAATCTTGAGAATTATCTTCTGTAAAAAAAATCTTGAGAATTATCATTTTAAATGTTATGTGTCTTTGTGTTATTAATGATTTAGCTTACTAATATTCTTATATGTAATGTTCTATATGATATTTAAAATCCTACGATTTTACGATTTGATTTTATGATTCCCATATTTTACCTCTGTTTTCAATTTTAGGTAAAATTCCGATTTTAACTCCTTTTTGTGCTTGGCGGCAGTAGTGACATCTGTTGGGTGGCCATACGAAGGTGGTGATTTCGACAACGACGGTGGAGGAAACATAGGGGGCAGATGAAACGACTAGGGTTTTGGATGACATCTCTTGTTTTTGGTTCGGGTCCGAACCCTATTGGGTACCAACCCACTTGTTTTGGGCCTTTTTAATTGATTTTCAGATCCATGCTCTTTTTATTTGCTTGTACTTCTCCGTTAGCGCTTTGCCCCGACCGTCTTCCTAATGACACATATCTTTTTTTTTTTTTTTTAAAGTTATTGAGGGATTACGAATAAGTGAGAAGAAGAGAGGCCGATTAAAATTTGATGCAATTGAAAATTTAATTTATGATGTTATAAATAAACTTTATGACAATAAAATTTGAAGTAATAAGCTACAAAATTACCTGCGTGAATTTTGAGGTTTTGAGAGGTTTTTTCTATTAAAAAACAAAACTAGGTGTGTTACGGCCTCCACTTATTTGTGTGGGTCGCCAGTAGGGCTGGAAGTTTGGTACCGGTATTTGGGATATAACGAATACCGTACCGAATTTGTCTATATTTGGTATTACCGAATACACGTATTATTTTGTGGGATTGGGATTGGGATTGAATTTCAATTGTTATTCGGTATTAGGGATTACGGGATTGGGATCGGTATATACCGAAATACCGATCAATACCGAAATATAAGCTAGTGTGTATTTTATCCTCCCAAGTCCCAACTAGACTCTCTCATTCAATACTACGCGACCCTAAACCACCAAAAGTGTCATTTAATTATACATAGATCATTACATCACTATTTCACACTAGTATTAGTCGTCTCTCAACCTCAAATTCGTCAAATTAAAAATTACCAATTACAAGAACTTAGATGTTAGCTCTAGGCAACTCAAGACTATTTGCTTAGTCTCTTTGATCTAAATTAAACAATAAAATCTCATTTATATATTTAATTATTAATTGCAAAGGTAATTAATTATGTATTCGATAATACCGATTGGGATACCGAGGTACCGATTGGGATACCGAAATTATTTAGGGATTGGGATTGGGATACCAAAATTATTTAGGGATTGGGATTGGGATTAATTTTAGGGTGTAATTCGGTATTCGGGATTTCGGTATTTGGTATTGGAATACCGATACCGTACCGATTTCCACCCCTAGTCGCCAGGCCCAGGCTCTTGACGATGGGAGCTGCATCAAGAGACGGCATTGAGATTCCACAAAAAAAAAGTATTCATGACAATATTTTTCATAGGGAGGAGACAAGACAAAGGAGAGAAGAAAGAAGAGGGCGAGAAACAGCTGCAGCAGCAGCAGGCAAAGGAAGGAAGGAATGAATGAAACTACTGGTTTTGGAAATTAGCCAATCGTCTCCTTCTCCGCTCTCCACTGCGCCCTTGGCCAGTTCGCCCCCTCTAAAAAAATTCCATTTTCCGGTTCTCCCTATGTTTCTCTACCCAGTCTTACGCAAAACTCCCTCTCCAATGGATTCAATTAATTTGTCATTCTCTCATTCATTTCTCTCCCTCTCTCTCTCCTCCCTCTCCCCAATTGCCCGCCATTGCTACTGCTTCTTCTTCTTCGTCCTCCTTTTGGCCTCAGGGTTTCTCGTCCTGGGCCATGGTTCGCCGAATTCTGGAAGGTGGGTTTTGCGATTCCGGTCGAGATGGAAACTGGGTCTCTGTTTTTTTTTTTCTTTCTTTAGAAACTGGGTCTCTGTTTTTTTTTAGTTCTTCTCTGATATCTTTCAGTGTTCTTCTGTCTGTGTGATGATTTTTCAGTGACCAATCCGCCGTCTCCGAGTAAGCTTCCTGAGCCGCGCGGTACCGCTTCGCCTTCTCCGATGAGTTCTTCCGCATTGTTCTTCTTCGCCGGCGTTCTGGTCGTCCTCGTTATTGTGTTGATCATCATCACCCTCTTCTGGAAGTTCATGAAATTGAACGAGATGACCACCAAGTTCGCCAAGAAAGACAATTCGCTGCCGCCTCAAGGTAATAATAACAAACGTTTAGCAAATCGATTTTTTCATGAACTTGTTTTTAAGTTCTGAAATCTGAAGTAATCGTCACTCTTCGAATTAAGTGGTTGAACGTACCCCCTTCACCAGAAGTCAGAACGGGTTGATTCGATGCCAGCCATTAGATCGATGTAGGCTCCAATATTTACAGACATGTCTCTGTAAATATTAGCGAACCTGACGGTTAGATTGATGCGTTGTAATTTATAATATAGTAACGCCCCCTGATTCAAATAATGCAAGTTCACGCTATGGTCCTACTGACCAAACCCCAATTGTTATATCACTCTACATTAAGCTAGAATTTACAAATTGTTGTCACTAGATTGATTTTTTTTTTTTTGGTTGAAACCTAATAACTTATTAATACACAGACTAATTTGATCGTTGCGTGATTTTTCTTTTTGACAACTATGTAGGAGTGGCATCCGAGGTTCTGAGTGGAACTCTCAGAACGATTAGCTACTTCAATTTCCAGACGCTAAAGAAGGCAACCAAGAATTTTCATGCTGATAATCTCCTGGGAAGAGGTGGATTTGGCCCGGTTTATCGGGTAAATTTACAATTCGTTTTTTTTTTGTTTAAATGATAGTATTGATGTATTGTGGTTACATTTTCGGTTAAGATGACAAACGATTTGGATCGTGTCATAAAAGTTAATAGGTCACAAGTAAATTGGTCAATCATATCGAAATATGATCAAATGAGTCAGGTTTGGGTCATACGAGTCATGATTTGAGCGGGGAGGTTACAATAGGGTTATGTCATATATGGGTTTGGTTAGTGTGGTGGTTTCTGGGTTGGGTTAAGAAGCCCCTTGTCTTTTTTCCCCTCTATTTCCAAAGTTAGATTTTTTTTTTTAACCGGTTGCACAGGGCAAACTGAGAGACGGTCGAACAGTGGCCGTGAAAAAGCTGTCGTTGGATAAATCACAACAAGGAGAATCAGAGTTCCTAGCGGAAGTGAGAATGATCACTAGCATTCAACACAAGAACTTGGTACGTCTACTCGGATGTTGTTCCGATGGGGAACAACGCCTACTTGTCTATGAATACATGAAGAACAGGAGCTTGGACCTCATAGTTTATGGTAGGTAACAACTGCTTGATTGGAAAGAGTTTTATGTTATATCTAGTCGTTGCCGTCTTTCTAGAATTGAGTCCATAGTTTACTAGGCTACTCTTCTTGTCTTGTATTGTTTTTCAATCGCTAAAGTTTGGTGGAAAGTTTCAAGCTTCCATGGCTGCAAACAATTCTTATTATTGTCGTCTCCCCTGAATTCCATATGCATGATCTACCTAAAAGAATGGGCTGTGCATGAGCATCTTTAGTCGAAATTTGATTGCTATGCGGTTTCACATTTGGGTTTATTCTTTGTTGTTGTCCTTATATGATATGACCTAATCATGAGAAGTTAAACTAAATGCCATGCCAAGAAAATCGAATCTATTAAACCGACGGAGTCTGCCGTCTGCGGTTCAAAATTTGCTGATACAATCATAAAACAGAGTCCAGAACAGTAAGAGGACAATTGTGTTAAGTTTCCCTTGTATTATTTTGGACTTGATGATAGTTTGATGAAATGGGGAGTGAATATATATTTTATAACCAGGGAACAACAATCAATTCATGGATTGGAACACAAGGTTCCAGATAATCCTCGGCATAGCTCGAGGCCTACAATACCTGCACGAAGATTCCCCTCTGAGAATCGTTCACAGAGACATCAAAGCGAGCAATGTTCTCCTAGACGACAAGTTCCAGCCTCGGATCAGCGATTTCGGGCTGGCCAGATTCTTCCCTGAAGACCAAGCTTATCTCAGCACCACATTTGCAGGAACCTTGTAAGTCCTTCTGAATCAACTTAATTACTAGTGGTATCTCATAACAGGGATTCATTCCACTTTTGACTAATCTTTGTCGTTCATCAGGGGGTACACAGCCCCAGAGTATGCGATCAGGGGCGAGCTGTCCGAGAAGGCCGACATCTACAGCTTTGGCGTGCTCCTTCTCGAGATCATCTGTTGTAGGAAGAACACAGATCTCAGCTTACCATCAGAGCAGCAGTACCTTCCTGAATACGTAAGTGTGCCTAGCGAGTTTCATGAGGCCACCCTTTACCGAGTTGTATGAGGCCTAGCCATTCCAATGGTGTACATTACCTTTTCTGTTGCAGGCGTGGAAGCTATACGAGAAAAACAAGGTGAGTGAGCTGATAGATCCGAGGCTTCGACAACAAGGGATCGAGGACAGAGACGTTGTGCACGTGATCCACGTGGCGTTCTTGTGCCTTCAGCCGCTGGCGAACCTGAGGCCTCCGATGTCTGAGGTGGTGGCGATGCTAACGTGTAAAGCTGATACAGGGACACCCCTAAAGCCAGCATTCTTGGATAAGCGGAGGAGAGCAGAAGGGAGCTTCTCTTGGGATGTAATCTCAGAGGCTTTCCCTTCTCCCTATGGGAGTCTGGAATCTCATCCTGCATCAAGAGCAAAGTAAGAGGCTGATAAACAAAGAGGTAGCTTGATGTTCAAGTAAGCTAAAAAAAAAAAAACAAAGCAAAGACATTGTAATTAATCCCTAATCCGGAAGACATCCAGTATTCTTGTGAAGTTCATGAAGTAGGGAGTAAGTAGAACTAGGGTTTTCTTCCTTTTTCCCCCTTTTTTGAAATTTCACTAGGACCCTCTCAATTTCATAGGTTATAGGAAGTCCACACAACATTTGAACTAACACCTTGTGTAGAGAGAAACAGGTGTGTTTCCCCCCCAATCAAGTGATGAAATGTTCAAAATTTCATCCAACTATGTTCTGAATCCGATTGATTAATTCGTAATAAGCACATCTGGAATGACTCACATACATAATAAATGCCAGATTGATAAGGAACAAACAGATTTCCGACATACATGACATGTGAGCCATTAAAGACATGGTTACTAACCATGGTTGACTCTGTTACTGTTAGTAGTATATTTGGAAGATCTCTCTATTGCGAGAACTATAAATGGATAAGCAACATGATACAAGGACTTGTCCATGGGAAATAATAGTACAAATATACACTTACTAAACGAACATAGTATAGAGACTAAAGACTTTATCATTAACTGAAAAACTGTCCAAATCCTTCTACCTCATGACTCTATTTATAAGAAGATTGATGTACAAAATAGAATCTTACAGTCCCACTGTGCAAAATAGAATCTTACAGTCCCTAATGGACAGTACAGAGGCCTTGAACTTTCAGCCTGAACTGAAAACCAACACATGAATGTATGAGAAATATTACCCCACCCTGACCCTCTTACTACAAGATATGGTATGAGCAGTAATGATTACCTCTTCTGGAGTCTCAGCCAAAGAAGCCTGATCAGGTTACGGGAATTTCTTCCTGTAATGCCTTGCAAGAAATGCTATTAACTGCAATGTAAGGAAGAAAGAAATTTGACCAGACATCTTTTGCAACCAATCAGTATTTTGCTCACAAAACCACAAACTGATAGCTGCCCTTTTACCTTGATCTCTTCAGCACTGAAACCCTTGAAATGGTTTCCTTCCTATAGAACAAGAGATACATTCACCAGAGCATAGATCTTATTAACATGTATATTTAGCACGGGAATTCTGTGCTGCTAATGATGCAATTTGTACAATGATGACACACTAAAACTGCAGTGGTAACCTCTTTTACAAGCAAAAAGCCCTGCGTTATGAAGCAAACAAGATGCCTCTCAAGTCTCAAGGCATTCGAAATTCTTGCCACCTAAGTTACCAAGCTCACCATATTGCCTCAAAGCCTTCAAATACCCTGTCACAATATCATCTTCTCGAGTTAGGGATCAGAAAATGTATGTCAATCGACAACAAGCAGAAAACACCAATCTTACCTTGGCAATGGCAGCACATCGTGCACCATTTCTAACCCTCTTCTTATTATTATTAAAACCTGGTAGCAAGTCTCACAACAGAAATCCACCTAGGATCACCATTGAATCCGAAACCAACTTCATCGAATTACCCCTTCAGCTCCTCAGCTGACTTGTCAATTTCAGATGGCACGTTGAGTAAAATGTAGCTGAGATTTCCACAAGGAGAGACAAAGTGAAAGGATCAGAGGGAAACCCTTGCTTAACGTCGCCATAGCCATGAAACACTGCTTTCTCCACTGCTCCAATTGTTCCGGAGCTTCCAGCAACAACTCAAACTCGAATCTTGTCACTTGCTGAACCAATCCAGAATCCTTTACAGCTCCCCTAAGAAATCCCTCATTCCTGAGCCATCTCCACCAGCGAATCGCTGAGTCAAACTCACATGACCTAGCTTCAAACTCGTCGCGAAATCGACAATCCCTCCTTCCGCAATCGCGAATTCAGTCGATCCGCCTCCGATATCTACGAGCAACGCTCTCTTTTCCCTGACCGGAAAAAATGAATCACTCTGGAGTATGCGAATCTCGCCTCCTCTTCTCCGGAGAGAACGGAAACGTTGAGCCCGGTGGCGGCGGTTTCGATGAGCTCGGCTCCGATGGCGGCCTCCCGGACAGCGGAAGTGGCAATGCAGCGAGTTCGTTGAGGTGGCATTCAGCGGGCGCGAGGATTTCGGTGAGTTGGCGCCTGGCGGAGGCAATGGAGAGCTCGGGTGATCGCGCCGGAGGAAATTGCCCCGGGGAGGAGATTGATGCGGCGGCGGAGTCACGGCCAAGGCAGACGCAATTAGAGTGGCGATCGACGGCGAGGAATCGGCCCGACGGCGGATGGAATCGACGATGATCATCTTCATGGAGTTGGTGCACATGACGATGACGGCAAATAGATGATCTGGCAGCAGGAGCACCTGCCGGAAACCAAAAGGAACGGTGAAGCAAAATGCGAAACGCCTATAAAAATACGCGAAATGGAAATGGCAACCTAAAGCGGAAACGCGGGAAGTAGAGTGACGCATGAAACTGAAACGCCTAGCAGAAACGGAATGAAACGAATAAGTTTCGGTTCTACATACTGAAACCGCAAGGCGAGAGGGCTTCAAAAGAGGCAAACTTCTTAAGACCGGCTCAACCCTTAATTCGGAAGAGTTCGTTATTAAACGAGCCGAGTCTAATCTCATCTTTGTTCGACTCACGTGACTCGCGAACTATGATTCTTAACCTCATTATCCAATGATTGAAAATTGCTATGGAACTCTCCCATTTTTGTGAATTTTCTTGTTGTTTTGGAGTTATGTCTTATGAGTTATATTTTACCGATTCTTTCACACAATACATTTACAATGTTATATACCACTCGTCGCGAAGTACAAGGGAGCGTACCATTTCTTGTATAAGGTGAAATGATAGGTTAGTGTTCACCGGAAGCACCAAGATATGAGGAAAATAGAACCGGTATATTCCATTATTGTTCAACAACCGAAAGTCGTCATTCATATGTTAAGGTGACACTTTGTATTCAATCCACCAATCTAATCCATCACTTAGAAACCCAATTAATCTAATCCATTTAAATCCAATTCATTTCATGCAAATTCAATTAGTTTGTTTTACAAGGATTCATGGATTGGATTGGTGGATTGTCGGCAAACTATAGTTTAGTACCTATATTTTGTAATTTGGTACCTAAATCAATTTAGATTGATTGACTCATAGATTATTGACAAATTATAGTTCAGTACATATATTTTTAGGTGCAGTACTTATATTTTTTTTTTAACAAAAAATGTCATTGGAAAAGTTTGTTTTGATATATTAATTTTTTTATCATGACAATTTATTACCTAAACTTTTCAAAATTAACATATAAGTCCAATTAATGCTTAGGTTCACTTTGTTCATGAATCCACCCATTGATGAATCAAAAATCCATTGCACACACCTAGACGAAGCTTATTAAGAAAGTGCAGCCCAGCTGGGAGAAACACACAGATGAAAAAGATACATACACAGGAGCAACTGCACGAACCACTTCTGTTATTTATCATCATGACCATACATTATTATTGTTGGGCTAACAGCTAACTAATCATTTTTGCAGAACTTGTAGTTCTCGAACCTCATGAAGCAGCTGCCCATGTTGACCCGGGCGCCAATCCTGTCGAAACAGCCGTCGGAGATTACCGCGAGGGCGGCGTCGAGGCAGGTCTCGCAGTGGGCGATGTCCTTGAAACACGACACGGCACCGTAAGCCGTTGCGCCTCTATACGACGCACGAAAGCAGCGCTTCTTCGCAGGGTGGTTGATGAGCTCCGGCGTCGCGCTCAGCAGCTTCCTCACGAGCGCCGCGATCGCACCGGCGGTGGGGTCGCCGTCTTTTATCCTGATCGGGCTGCAACTTGGAACGCCTGCAGCTTCCATTGCACGATGATCTGTTTGCTTCCTGCTGCTCTCGCCACTAGTGCTGCTGCTGTTGCAAACCAACCAGATGATTGCCCATACTATTACAGAACTTGCTCCTCTCATCATCATCCTCCTCCTCCTTCTTATCTTTCTTTCTGACTTCCTTTCCTTCCTTTCTTTAATTGCTACATATAGCTAGCTGGTTATGGCTATACGTTCCGGTCCGGTTAAATTGGCCCGAATTGATCCGGTTCCGGTCGGGTTTTTTCGAGAATATAAGGATTGGATTGAATACTGTCAGGTTTTGATCTGATCCGGTCTCAATTCGGTCTTCACTTTAGATTGAGGTTGTGGGGATTTGAGTGGATTGAGGGGGGATTTGAGTGGCCCGAGGCCTGAAAGGGTGAGGAGGTTAAATTTTGGGTGTTGGGCTTTCTTATCCGGTTTTCGGTCCGGTCTCAAAAGGTTTTTTACCTCAAATCTAGGCTCGAAAATTAAATTGGATTGTTTGCTATCCGGTCCGGATACAGTCTCGGTCCGAGTTATACGATCCGGTTTCTGGTAAAATCAAAAAGCTGGTACTAAATAGCCACGCCTATAGCTAGCTAGAGAGTTTCATGGATTAGGGCTTTAATTAACCCCTTATTAAAAGCGATGCATTTCTTGTCATTGTTTGTTGAAAAATGTGCTGCATGCTGCCGAATGCCGAACACAGTTTGTTCAAGGTGTAGCCTGTTTGGATAGACAAAAAACTCAGGAATTGGAATTCCATTTTGAATTCCAGTTCCATATTTTATGTTTGGAAGGATAAAAAGGTCGAGAAATGAATTCCATTTGGGCTAAGTTTTGGGAATTACAATTCCTATCAAAAGTGATAGGAATTGTGTTTATGAATATGGAATTAGTGGGTCCCATCACTATTTATTATTATTTTATTAACCAACTATCACACTACTCTCTTTCTCTATCATTCATATTTCATTTCCCAAGATAAAATAAATATATTATATTATTAATTATTGTTAAAAGTGCAATTCATTTCTTTAGTTGGAGGAATTATACCAAACACTAAAATTGGAAATGGAATTCTATAAAAATAGGAATTGGAAATAGAATTCCATTTCCATTTCTTCTTGAATTGTATCCAAACAGGCTGTAAAGGTCTTAGATGTGAGTTATCAATAATTACGTTGATAGATAGAGTTATGATTGGTTACGGGACTAAGGTGCGTATGAGTGTTATGAAAATGCAATACTCAGATATCTATACAAGAGTTTTAAACTGAGCTTGAAATGACATGTTAATCATTAAAGAAACAAAACAAAAAAACAATTTGGTATGATGATAAAGTCTTCTCAATTTGGTTACATTCGAGGTGCTGGGTGATACAGACAAATTAAAGGAGGGTCAATCTCCTAAGAACGAAAATAACATATTGAAGTGATTATCATCTTGTTCGTGAAAAACTGAAATAAAGTTTTTTCAACCTAAAGTCAATTCACGTTTAGCTTAATTGCAGGGGTATTAGGACACAAAGGATTCATCAATAAATGTTTCATAAAAGCAAGAAGGGACGACAACGGAAGGATGTCCGGCGATACACGGAAAGAAGCGTCGAGAAAGTTGATGGAGGGAAAGAAGCGTCGAAAAAGTTGATAGGTGATGGTTGCTAGGTTTTTTGGGAGACGATGGAGGGGAAATGGTTTTTGGGCAGACGAACACCAAGACTTTGCACTCAACACGGGACCGGGTGAGACGATGGCAGGAAACACCGAGAAAATTGATCGGAGATGGTGGAAGTGAAGGTTTTTGGGAGAAGACGGAGGAAAAGGGTTTGGGGGAGACGAATCGTTCTGCGAAGGAGGGTGGCTGATTTCTCTCCCCCACCGAATTCTTTCCCTTTTCAAAACCCGATTGACGTCAGCACATTAGTGGGCATGCAGATCCAGTGTGGGCACTCTCTTTTTTGCCCTTGGCCATTATCAACCGTCAGATAGAGAGGAAGGGGGACAGACGACTACTAAAGGAGAAGCGAAATTGACAACCCCTTAGGAGTTGTCACGATATCCAGTCCTTTAGCATAGATAAAATGCAATTAGGATAGTTTAGGTAGCAAAACACTGTATATTAGACAATTGGATAGGTTTCTTATTTGTTTCCCCCACTTTTTCTCTCTCTTGTTTCCTATGTAAACAGACCATAAAGCCAGCTTCTTTAACTGGATTAGTATTATAGGAGGGTTACTGTTTGCCGCCCGTGTAATTACTATTTGCCGCCCGTAAATTACACTAAAAAGACAATTTTGCCCTCCAAAATTTTCTTTATATTCTATTCTCTGGTTTAGTTTTTTAAACTACCTACACATCACCCGACCACCAACCCCCCACATTCACCATAGCCAGAGTCACGGCCACCGGACCAACGTCAGCATAATTCGCCGGCCACTGGACGACAGCCGTACCACATCGTCGGACCAGCGAATCAGGTAAACCCCGTGCACTGACCTCCTGTATTTTGCCCGTCCCCCGGCAATGTTTTTTTTTTAAAAATTTGATACATATTATTAATTCTAGAGCTAATAATTTATATTTAATTTATTGTTTTTATTTATATTTTACATAGTTAAATTCGTATGTAGTTTGAATTAAGCGCTTGTATTTTGTTGTAGCGCTAATTAGTTTATTGTGTTTAGATTTAATTCGTAGATCTAAAGAAGTTTAATAATTTATATTTAAATAATTTTCTTATCGTCAAATTATCGTTATTTTGTAGAGTTAATTAAATTATTGCATTTAGTTTAATTTTGTAGAATCAATTGAAGTACAATTAGTTTAATTAAGCGATTGTATTTTGTTGTAGCGCTAATTAGTTTATTGTGTTTAGATTTAATTCGTAGAGCTAAATAAGTTTAATAATTTATATTTAAATAATTTTCTTATCGTCAAATTATCGTTATTTTTTAGAGTTAATTAAATTATTGCATTTAGTTTAATTTTGTAGAGTCAATTGAAGCACAATTAGTTTAATTAAGTGATTATATTTTATTTTAGCGCTAATTAGTTTATTGTGCTTAGATTTAATTTGTAGAGCTAATTTGGTTTAATAATTTATATTTAATTAAATTTCTTATCGTTAAATTACCGTTATTTTTTAGAGTTAATTAAATTATTGCATTTAGTTTAATTTTGTAGAGTCAATTGAAGCACAATTAGTTTAATAAAGTGATTGTGTTTTGTTGTAGCGCTAATTAGTTTATTGTGTTTATATTTAATTCGTAGAGCTAATTTGGTTTAATAATGTATATTTAATTAAATTCCTTATCGTCAACTTATCGTTATTTTGTAGAGTTAATTAAATTATTGCATTTAGTTTAATTTTCTAGAATCATATAATTTGTACCTTTCTAACGAGTTGTAAAATCATAATTGCAGGTGGACATGGCTTACAATGTTGAACTAATTGGTGATTACAATTTCGAAGATGATGTAACAGTGACCAAAAACATCGCGATGTCTCTTGGTTTCTTTCTAACTAAGGGATTATGAAGCCACGTGAGTTGCGCAACAATAGAGTATTGGGTATGTGTTATATGTATTGCGACAGATGCAGTAGGGA